TTTTTTTTACTTAGATATTTAAAAGTAAACTTTTTTATTTAATCAAAGTAGCGTGTCGTATATAGCGTATGATTTCTAAATGACCCGGATAATCTCGTTCTGCAGACTGTCGTTCAGTCAGTCAACCCTCATGATGCAGCGATCGACACAGGCGCGCAACAACAATCAAAAGCCAATCAACACGCTGCAATTCCGTTTGGGGCTTGGCTAATGAGGTCCTTCGAGTTCCATGTGTAAGTTTATTAGCTCTTATAAATGCGTGCAGTAAATGCCTCATTCAGTTTAGTGGAACGATGTGATGCGAATTAATATTACAAAGCTAATTTAAGTATACTCGCACGCTTTACTTGTTATCAGAAACATGTAATGTATGAAACAATCATCCGTTCCCCTGTTTGACAGGACGGGGAGACACACACAATTAACTAATGTTTAATTAACAACTTGTTAATGTTAACGACTAATTAACTACTTATAGTCGTCCTTGATTGTTATCAATTGCATCACGCCCTGCTCTGTGTCATGCATTCGCTCCAACGTTTTGTATCGGTTTAGTTTAGTTATCAGTTGGATTCGTGTTTTGAGAGAATTTATGTTTTGTTGTAGATTTGTGAATATCATCCAGATCGATGTTACCGAAATCATGATGACTGATGCTCAGAGAAGCACGAGGAGCTGTAGAGGTCAGAATTATTCCATTCGAAAAGTCTAGTTTAAACGGGATAAAATCCTATCGTATTTGAGAAATATTGTTTGAAGGCGATTTTGGGATATTTCTAGTTAGTCTAAGTTGGATTTGTTTGCTGGTTTGCTGTGGTAAAGCATGACATGAGATTATAGACGGAAAAATCTTTGAAATGGAACAATTTATTTTGAAACCTTTGACAAAATATATTTTAAAAAAAAGTTTGCAAATATTTCTTATGATACGTCAGGCTTTTATGGCTCATAGAGCTCGCACTCAAGGAGGAAAAGCACTTCAAAATTATTCAGAGGCCCAAACTGAGCAAAAATTTGCAATTCTAATAGTTTATGTAAATCTGCCAAAACTGTATAACAGACTACTTACATAAAATGTATATAAATATCCGTTGTCGATATATCTCTCATTAGTATCTCTTAAAATTATATTTAAATGCTGTACAAGTAAACATTCCTCAAAAAAACATGTTGTATCATATTTGAACTTATCACACTTTAACATAATTTTTCTAAAAGATAATGGATATGGATAATTTCAGTTTCTTCAGGCCAGTAAATGTTCATGTTGAAATATTACCAACAATATGAAAGTTATTCTTACTTGCATAAAGATAAACAGACCACAACCTCAGGGTGAATTGTCAGATTATACTAAAAAGTAGGGCTGACGCGTTAAATATCGCATGCGATTTATCGTGCAGCCCTACTAAAAAGCCTTTTTCTGCAAGGTTTTGATTGTGTTGATCATTTAGAGACCTTAAAATTTAGGTTTAAGGTGGTCTACCACTTTGGACCAGCAAATAGCCAGTTTGGACCTAAAACCAGCGACCATCCAAGGCAGATTTGTCTTTTTCCTGGTGACAGGTTTGAAGAATGAAGATGGGTATGAAATTTCCATCCCCTTTGAGGACAACAGCCTGGATGAGTCTGGTTTCTGTAATCAAAACGACCACACCTTCGATGGTATTTACTCCAGCCACATTGTAACATGTTTGATTATCACGATTGACGTCTACACTGTAGTATGTTTAAATGCTTCTGCAGAGTCGGTGTCAGGTCAGATTCCTCCTTGCAGTCCATACCTTTTGATTACCAGCCTCCGAGCACAACTGCAGATTTCTCTGGAAAAAAACTCCTGGCTTCAAAAACGCATCGAAGATCTGGAGGAGGAGAGGGACTTCCTGCGCTGCCAACTTGACAGATTTATTTTCACCACCAAGAGTCAGGAGAGCAATGGCATGACTGGAAAAGGTACACTTGTGCAAAGTAGTGTCTTGTAATGTAGTAATCCAATTTTATGAAGTGTTATCTTTATTTAATTTAAGAAACTGAAGCAGAAGCTGAGCCTCAAGCCACCACTCTGAAGCAGCCCACCCGGAAGACAGCTATTCCTTCCCCATCATCCATGATGACACGCTCTGGAAAAATCGCACAACACAACCAGAAGCGCAGCAGAAATAAGAGCTAATTAGTTTTTGTTGTTGTTTTTAGACCTACTTTCTTCTTCTGTTGCACCAATCTCACTATTGCATTCTTTATCTGTAACAGTATTATTTTAATATCGTTAAAATAATATAGTTTTGGTCGTATTTTGCATTAGATTTTTATATTTTCATATTTGAATTGAACAAAACAATTTTTTGTTTTCATTCTTTTAAAAAATATTTATCTATATAGTTTAATATATCTATTAAGCTTTAGTTTATTTGGTTTTAGTTATTTTAGTAGTTTAACTTAAACTTAATGAAAACAAGAAATGTTACCATGGCTGAAATAAAAATATTTTTATTTCAGTTAGTTTATTTTATTTCAAGTAATGAAAATGTTTATTTTTTTTGTTTTAGTTTTACTTTAGTCAACAATAATAGCCCTATAATAAAAACTGATCTGCAATGAAAAATGTAAATTTTTTTTAACCTTTTATTCACCTCAGATCAAGAAGACGAGGAGGTGATTGAGGAGGAGGAGTACATAGCAGAGGAAGACTTTGTGGAAGAGGAGCAGGTTGTTACAGATGATGATGGCGATGATTCAGATAGTAAAAGCTCACGTAAGAGCCGTTCAGGAAGGCAGAATGGCCAGACAAGGGTGAAAAGACGACGTGTTTTCCGTATTGCTCGAAGCATGGAAAGACAAAGAGGTGAGTTGTTGTTTTCAGTTTCTATATATTTCAAAGCAACTCTCTATATTTAATAAATATCTAATAACTGTAATTTTGTGCACAGTTAAAGACTCTGCAGGTGTTCTACTTCGTTACAATAAGATCCTTGTCACCTATCAAAAGTTGAAGAGCATGTCAAGAGCATTCCAGGTCCATGGGGTTGACCGAAACACCGTCGCCTCCACCACTCCTATTGCTGAAATGCTTTTGGTTGCTCCTGAGAAGGTATCTGAAGTTGGTGAGTTTGATTCCTCCAAGGAAAAGCTTCTGGATTATGCAAGACGCTGCTATAAAGCTCTTGACGAGAACGCTCATGCTAAGGTGCAGGCCTTGAAGAAGAACAACCTCTTGCTGCCCATTTCATACAGGTTCAGACACTAAATTTCCACAAATGTATTCCTTTTTTGGGGGGGGGCAGCGCTATTGACACAGTGGTTTGGATATTATGGAGTCCATTCATTGACCTTTCATGGGCTGTTTTTTTTTTTCTACCTCAATTCTAGTTCTACACATTTGGAGTGAAAAACTGTTCAAATCCCAACTCTGTGCCAACTTCAAAATGTGTAGATTCCAAGAAAGGCTTGTTGACCCAACATAAAGGGAGAAGAACATTTGTGAGATAAATAGTCAGCCACTGTATGTAAAGAGTTACTTACTGTAAAGTTTGGAAACTCTGTCCTTCAATGAAAGGGACTTTGTCTTGTTTGAGTTCATAATTTGGGGATCACGCAAGGTACTACGTTTCTTTAATATTCTGACTTGTGATCACATTTGGATGATTTGAGTCAGACTAAAGATTGAATAAAAGTAAAGTTCTCGGCTTGCTACTATCATCTTCAGAGTTTCGAAACTTTCTAAATTAGCTGTGAAATAATAAAAGAGCAACTTGTTCTTTAATTAGTGGCCTTGGCTGGAACAAGCTGCAGTTATTTTCCATTCAAAAACTAGTGAGAGAAACTCAATGAACAAAGAGAAGTAGTTACTGTGTTTATCTGTATATTATTTAAATCTCTAAGTTTGAAGTGTACTGCTGTCTCAGTAAATGGCTGTGGCACACCAGTGCAGTGTTATTCTTTCAAATCATCTCAGACTCCACAAATGAAGCCTTTGTTTAAAAAAATACAATTTGTTGTAATATGGGACTATTTAAGCACTTTGTTGTTATTGACAAAGGGGAAAATAAATTGTATACGAGTTCAAAATGTGTGATATTGGAGATATTGTTTTTTTTTTGCATGCTTTGTGTGCCAGTCCTACTCAGGAGGTTACCAGCAAAAGTCAAAACTTTGAGATTGTTTGATTAAAAATATTATTTACGAGAAAATGTTGTTCACCACATTCCTTACTAGTTCATGGTATGCCTATAAGATTAAGTATAATGCTAAAATTGTGTTTATACATTGCAATGTCATTTGAAAGGCTTGACTGATGTTTTTGTTATTGTGGTTACCTATTATTTTTCCTATTGGATTATGACTATTCATTTCAAAACCATACTGTTATTAAACACATCTCCAACACCGTATGGAAGAGCATTCAGTCATTTTCAACATGAACTCCACTATATTGTTTTTAAATAGGGACAAATAATCAAATCTAAAATGTGACCCTGAACCACAAAAGCAGTCTTAAGTTGCTGGGGTATGTTTGTAGCAATAGCCAAAAATACATTGTATGGGTCAAAATGATTGATTTTTCTTTTATGCCAAAAATCATTAGGACATTAAGTAAAGATCATGTTCATTGAAGATATTTTGTAAATTTCCTACTGTAAATATATCAAAACTTAATTTTTGATTGCTAATATGCATTGCTAAGAACTTAATTTGGACAACTTTAAAGGCGATTTTCTCAATATTTAGATTTTTTTGCACCCTCAGATTCCAGATTTTCAAATAGTTGTATCTCGGTCAAATATTGTCCTATCATAACAAACCATACATCTATGGAACGCTTATTTATTCAGCTTTATGACTGGTTTTGTGGTCCAGGGTCACAAATGACTTGTGGATGACAAGTGGACAGAAATTGAAAAACGCTTCCCTCCAGGCCTATAGGGGACGCACGGCGGTAAAGCTCTTGTTCAGAGTGACTTTTGTGCGGTGAAGAAACGGTCAGCACATCCGCCAACGCGGAGTAAGCGGTTAGCTTCTTTGGTCGAGACTAGCTAGACTTCAGCGGAGTCAATAATGACAAATAACAGCATTTGACTATCAGGGAATATATCCAAAGAGCAAATCATTACATATAAGCGATTTAATCATCTATTTTGCCGACGCGAACCTTTTATTTTCCTGCATCCTGCAACGCTTGAAGGTAGCATTAGCAGCTAACAACCATCTGAAGCAAAGCGTTTATTTCCCTCTGCACGAAATTTACGTGTCTCGGAAAACTCTATATGCTGGTGTTACATTTTAAAACATCTATATTTTTATAGTCCGTCCCTTGAAATTGCGGTTGACTGAGAAAGCTATTTATAAGGGAAAGAGCGTGTTAACTGGAGTTTCTGCTTCAGATCAAAACGCCAGAATGTCTGATTTTGATGAATTTGAGAGACAGCTTTCTGAAAACAAACAAGGTGAGTATAAATGTTCATTATTGACTGGCCTGAACAGTAATCACTTGCATAACATCGTAATAACTAAACATGGTGTCTGTTGTCAGTATAAATAGTCACATATTGATGCACGGCAATGAAACTCATTCTACACTTATTGTAAGTATATTGTTGTCTTATGCTTAACCTATAAAGAAAATAGATCTAAAAAGCTGTAAACATGCATAAACATTTGAGAGTTGTTAATTGCTGATATTTACTGAGTGGATACTTGTTATTTTATTTAAATTATGCACAGTTGTTTGTAGGGATGTAACGATTCACTCACGATTCGATTCACGATTTTGATTTCACGATTCGATTCACGATTTTATTTTTTACAAAATGAGATTTAAGACAAATTATAAATTAAATGTGCCCTTTTATTATTGCTTAGACAAAATGCTGCACATTTTTTTGTGAAATTGAAATATAACACTATAATAATATACTAATTTAGCACTTGCATATTATTGCTTTTTTGTTGGTTTTGATTGCTTCTATTGTCCTCATTTGTAAGTCGCTTTGGATAAAAGCGTCTGCTAAATGACAAAATTTTAATATAATGTAAATGTAAATAACAAAACTAAATTGAAATTTTAAAACAAGCCCCAAGTCAAATAAAGAAGTAACACAAATAAAATAAATCTCTTCATATAAACAAACTAAGGTCTGTGCTCTTTCCATTTAAAATTAGAGGCAACCACTGCATTTTAATCATGATCCAAACAAAGATGCTGCATACATGCAACATGAGCAGTTTTTAATCTAAATTAGATTCTATCATTTTGTTTAGCATCTCAACCGATTTGAATCGTCACATATTTGAATCGATTTTCAACCGGCTCGCGGTTAATCGTTACATCCCTAGTTGTTTGGATATAAAGGTGTCAACAACAGCTTAATGTACTTCTAAACAATCTTATATTGTTATAATGTTTTGTAGTCACAATTTAATTTTTAAAAACATATATTTACAATAAGTGCTGAGAGGGTTTTATATGTGAAACTTCAGCTCATGTGACTTTTTGTGATAACTGTCCTAGAAATTACATGTCATTTAAAGCTTTGTCTTTTTGTAACTTTAGGCTTGTAACTTTAGTATTGTTGTCAGATCACCTGTCATTAGTAACACATTTTGTATTCTGTTTGTAGGACTTAAGACGTTTGCTATAAGTTGCAATAACTTCCTCTTTCCCTCCAGTTCGCAGCATTTATTCTGTTGTTTTCCTGTTTATTATTGTGAATCTGATTTGAAACAATCTGTATTGTATAAAGTTCTATATAAATTAAAATTGATTTAACCTCTCTCGTTCTCTTCCGTACAGGTGACAGTCTAAACGGTCATGGTGGGTATCCCAGAATGAGGTGCAGAAAAGCATGCACAACCTGTCTTCTTCCTGTCCATCTAATCTTCCTTTTTTCCGCCAGATACTCACTGTGAAAACTGAAAAGCTGCATAATATCTCACTACTTTCTTTAATTCTGCAGCTGGATTGGCCTGCTTCTTCTTTTTCCTTTTCTTTCCTTTCTCCTGTTTGCTTCAGGAACCTGCAGCTTTAGGGCCTTTCGCACCGCGGGAACCTTTTCATAGTACCAGAACTAATTGTGGAACTACCCACTTTTTGGCGTTTTCGCACCGCCAGAACTGGGTGCTTTTTTAGTACCGGACTGCCTTTTTCGAGAACCAAATTAGCTCCTACTCCGGAGCAGGGTCTAACCAGCACAACTGGTACTACCC